TTTGGGACATCCGCCGCTCACCCTCGTACGATGCGATCATGATCCTGTTTGCCTGGTTCTTGAGTATATCAGTAACCACGCTTCAAAGTCAAGCACCGATGATCGGAGCGTCAATTGCGTTTGATATTCACAAAAGCCAAGCAAACACAATCGCTGCATCTACGAGGTTCAGATGCAGACAAATCTTCGGATAAGCTCGCCCATCGAGTCGATGTTCAAAACCTGGTTCATCAGCGCCCTTCTGGTTTAAACGATTCGACGGAGCCACCCGTCTTCGTCTGGGTCGACCTGCCGCGCATGCGACAGCTCGCTTGCCGCCCAGACCAGCTTGGCTCGGCTCGGTGGCAACGGCTGGGGTGTTGGGAGCTTGATCGACGATGCAGACTACGAAGGCGAGAATGTGGGGACGAAAACACGGCACTGACGACGACGTGCAAGGTGAAAGCGTGGCGAAGCAGGACGAGGGAATTGGCGGGTCCGCGATGAAGGGCCTCCCTCCCGGCCGGCGCCGGAAAAGACACAGGACCACACCTTTTTACCCCCCTGGATTGCGTCATATTGAGGGGAGCAAGGGCAAGACCAGTAAGCGAGGAGCAGTCGAATGAGAAGAGGGAAAAGAGAAAGGAGACGGGGGTTTCATTTGCGGGGGGATGTGGCTTGCGATTGAGGCGCGGCTTGCCACCCAAGCCAGGCGAGAGGCGAAGGCCGAACACGCATAGACACCAACCAGCCAACCACCACTTGGAAAGAAAAAACATTCCCACACCCATTTGCTCGCCGACGACCAAACCCCACCTCCTCTCCCTCTCCCCCCTCTCCTGCGAGCAAATGTCTCTCAACATGACTCAGCCCCGGCCCCTGGAGCACCCCGTCCGCCTCAGTTTCGTCACCTCCGCAAAGCGCAAAGCCCGTTCCCCCTCCCCGACTCCCCCCACCTCGCCCGACCGCCGACTCCGCTCGACTCGGTCCGACCCCACCCGGCTGCCGAAAAGGATCTCGACGGGCATACAAGCCTCGGACGCAGCCATCCTCGTGCACCTCCCGTCTCCGCCGCCGGCTGCATCGGACATCCCTCCGCCCTCCCACTTCGAGCTCGTGGAGGGTGCGCGTGAGCGATTCCCTCGTCACACTTCGGGGCCTCCGAGCAGCGCCAGCACTGTATCCGACGAGGAGGGTGACGGCGACGACGACGGGTCTCGGGATGAGGACTTGTCTGACGACGACGATGCGGAGACCAGCGACGAGGAGGAGGAGGACGAGTCTGCTGGATCGCCCCTGCCTCCCGGCGACGACGAAGACGATAGCGGGGACGAAAGCGACAGTAGCATCAACAGCGGTGGGTCTCAGAGGTGGAATTTTTTTCGGGGGGGGGGAAGGGGGGTTATTTTGGGCGCCCCTTTGTTGCAACGTACCCCGCTGGTTCTCATGCCCCTCCCGCACCAGACTTCCTTGACACGGACATCCACGAAGGCGACGACGCCGTCACGATGAAAGAAAAGCTCATGCTTCGTGATACACGAGACGAACTACAGGTCATCAAGAAGGCAATCGAGGAGGCGCACAAGAGGTATTTTTTTGGGTGTCGTTCCGCATGGAAAATAAGCGTCCGCCCAGCCACTCTGACTGAACATTTTTTTCGGCAAATCCTCTCCCTTCATAAAACAGCCACTGCAAGCTAAAGCTCGCGCAGATTCACATCGCGCGTATTCAAATCGAAAACCGTAAGTGTTCTTTTTTTCTCCCGCAAGTGTTCTAAATCCCGTTTCCAGTGTGCTCATCGACTCCAACTCGTCTTCCCTCGTCCACCCCGTCTCCATCCTATTTTCTCCCTTCGTGCCGCAAGATACGCACCCCGAATTCGTTAGCGGGCTTCAGAGCATCGAGGACGCAAAGGACGAGAGTATTGTGATTGCGTATAACAGGCACAAAAATCAAGAGAGCAATATTCATGCATCCTACGAAGCGGAGAAGCAGATGTACCAGCACTCATTTTTGGTAAAGCCCCCTATGTCCTACCCCCCCCCCCCGTTAGTTCGCGATGTTCCCGTGCCTGTTCGCTCATCCTCGGTGGGTGCGCTCTTGTTTTAACAGTCCGAACGCCATGCGGTGCGACGAGCACACCTTGATGAGCTGGGGCGCAGGAAGCAGCAGATTGCTAGGGAGAAGCGGAAGTGGGACAACGAGCAGGCCGCGCCGTTTGGTAAGGACTGTTTTCGAATTTATACTTCCCCTCGTTGGCGAAAACAGGCACCCGATCTCACCCGTCTCTGCCTTGCTCCTTTTTTTCTCCGAAAGACTCCGCCTTGTTCGCGCCGGAAACCCTTCACAAGAAGCGCCGCCAAGAGCTCCAAGACGCGACGGTGTCCTCGCGCGGGTTGCCGCCAAACCGGGATACTATCCCGGGCTGGGCAAAAGATATGGCGCGGGCGTTGCAGAAGAGTGGGAAGCCGCCGGTGAGTGTATGGGTGTGTCGGGCACTCCACCGCGAAACTCGAGGAGCATCGGGGGAAAGGGTTGAGTTTTATCGTATTTGGAAGTCCCGAATAATGACTCTGCCTGCTTCTCCCCCCCCCCCCCCCCCCCAACCAGGTGCCGGTTCCAATGTTTTGCGCTGGCCTCAACCAGTCCGAGATGGACCAGGACGTGCAGCTACTGCGGGCGATCATTCCACCATATTGATCGCGCGCGTTTTAATTGCTCGGCTCCGCAACATCAACGCCTCTCCCCCGAAGACAAAAACGCACTATCGATACCGACCTCTCATCCCCCCTCGCCTCTATCAGCAAGTCTGCTATTCATACCCCCCTTCTCGCTCTGCCACTACTCTCCCACACGTTTTTTTGTTTCGTTCACTTCTTGTTCTTGTGTTCTTTTTTCCCTTTCTTCGTCCAGTCGAATGTAATTTATGCCAGAGATGTTTGGGTACCCGTCATCCTCACGTTTTGTTTTCGGAGCTTGCCGCGGGTTTCGGCTTTTGGTGTAGGGGTGGTGACGCGGGGGAGGGGGGGT